TATGTTCTAGCTCACTCTCCTTGTCCTACTGGGGCTTAGAGGGCTGACCCGCTTTCCCAAGGTCACACAGCTGTGAGAGACAGAGCCAGGGTTTAGACTTGGTCTTCTCTGAGTTTGCCTTCTGAGTTCTTTCTTGAATGGACCACTTTTGTGATTTTGAGCATTACCAGACACTTGACTGCAGCGAGCACAGCCAGCCAAAGGTTGGGAAACCTTTCTACCTTTTTCCTTAATGGATAGAAATTGGTGGTCAGAAACAACAAATACATGTCAAGGATGTTGAGTATGTGTATTATTCTGGGCCGCAAACAGATGTGATAAAAAGGCTCAGTTATAGCAAGTCTTCTAAGTTAAACTTTTCCTGAAAAGAGCTGCAGAGAGGGTCCAGGAGTGGTAAGGGAAATGTGGTATTATGTTAATGTTTATGTTTGGCTGTAGTTCACCAAAAATGAAGGTCAGTACGGTTCTCCCTTCCAGTCTGTGTGCAAGTTGGCAAATGACAGGAACAACATTTGCTTCTAATCACCCATCCATCTTAATAATGCCGAACAGATACAGCGCAGAAACTATTGCACAACAACCAGCATTTCATGACATCGGAGTCTTTGCCAATTTGAAAGAGGACCTCGAATCTGGGAAGAGTTACATTTTTATGTTTTTGATCATGATCTTCTTAGAAGATACTTATTAGGGCCATTTGTTGACAACATTAAGAATTAACTAATTATGTTGTTAAAGCATAACAAAAGTTTAATGGTTTCATTAGAGAACTATAAAGTCTGTTACTTAAGAGAGAAATATTGTGGTGTTTGAAAGCAGGAAATATTTACTAAAGGACTCTTCCAATTCTGGAACCAAGGCAAAGCTCAGCTTATCCTGATCTAAAGAATTAAAAAAAAAATAGTAAAAGAGGAGCGGTATCCTCGCATGTTTGGTGCCAGCAAAGCGCCTTGACACTCAAGATGGTTGTCAGTCACGTACTGGATTGAGTTGGCATTTTTTAAAACTAAAAACGGAAGGCACGTGATTATAAGAAGTTCTAGCTTCTCTGTCTCCTGTGGGAAAGGGGCCATTTTTGCTCATCTGGGCCTGGTGTGGAAAGCAAGAGAGGTGTGCCTCAATCAGGGAGTGCCCCTCTGTTGATGCTTGTCCCCGGGGAGCATGGCGGGGTCCCCTAGGGATCCTTCTTTCTCAGCAAGAGTTGTGCCTGCTGCCTTCAGTCCGGGCATACACGAGGCACTCTGCCCGACGGGGAGAAAGCAGCTGCCAACTCCGCCGGGGGAGCCATCTGTCTGACCCACCTAGACCGGAGGCTAAAGGGCCTCGATGCTTCACATCCGGCTCTCCCAGGGGAGGAGCGGACAGGCCTCCTTCCAGAAAAGGCCCTTCACGGTGGTGTGTGTGTTGGGGAGGGGCCACGTTCTCGGTAATGAAAGAAACCATCTGCCTCCCGGGGTCATAGACGCGGCCTGAGACAGTTACCTGAGTAGTTCAACTCGGTTCAGACCCAAGTAGGTTTTGGTCTGAACCACCGGATCACTGAGTTACGCTGACCTGGGATGGGATCTCGGTTTCCTCCGGGGCCTGCCCGAAGGGGTGCGTCACTACTCTGTGAGCCCGCTTCCTAGCCTGTAACACCGGGGCTCTACCTAACAGGGCCAATGAATTTAACTTAGTATTTTGTGTGCGAGCACTCAGTTCCCGAGGCACATAAATACCAGGTCTGTGAAATTGTGCCACCAAGGCACCGAGAGGCCGCAGGTAACGCTCCTTAGGGATCTCCCAGCCCAGCAAAGTCCAGCCTGGGCCCTCCCAGTGGAGCCCCCCGCCATTAGCTGCGCTGAGGCTTTCTCTGGTTTTTCCTTTCTTTTCTTTTTTCTTTTCTCCCTCTTCTTTCTTTCTCTCCCTCTTTTTCTTTCTTTCCTTCCTTCTTCTTCTCCTTCTTCTCCTTCTCCTTCTTCTTCCTCTTCTTTCTCCTCCTCTTCCTGTTCCTCTTCTTCTTCCTCCTTCTCTTCTTCTTCTTCCTCTCCTCCTCCTCCTCTTCCTCTCCTCCTCCTTCTTCCTCTTCCTCTTCTTTCTCCTCCTCTTCCTCCTCTTCTTCTTCCTCTTCTTCCTCCTTCTCTTCTTTTTCTTCTTCCTTTTCTTCCTCTTCTTCCTCTCCTCCTCCTCCTCTCCTCCTCCTCCTCTTCTTCTCCTTCTTCTCATTCTTCTTCTTCCTCTTCTTTCTCCTCCTCTTCCTCCTCTTCTTCTTCCTCTCCTCCTCCTTCTTCTTCTCATTCTTCTTCTTCCTCTTCTTTCTCCTCCTCTTCTTCCTCCTTTTCTTCTTCTTCCTCTTCCTCTCCTCCTCCTCCTTCTTCCTCTTCTCCTCCTCCTCCTCCTCTTCTTCTCCTCCTCCTCCTTCCTCTTCTTTCTCCTCCTCTTCCTCTTCTTCTTCCTCCTCTTCTTCCTCCTTTTCCTTCTCCTCTTCTTCCTCCTTCTCTTCCTCCCCCTCCTCCTTCCTCCTCTTCTTCTTCTCCTCCTCCTTCTTCATTCCTATGGGATCAAGAAACTGACCCAGTTGTAAAAAAGCTCTAGCAGGCCGCTCCCCGTAGGTGGGGGACTTGGAGTAAGGCAGCGGGCGCTGGCTCGCACACAGGCCGAGGGGCTGGAATGTGGGCCCCTGGGCGCAGGACCCCCGCTCAGGACCCACGCAGCCCCACGCTCCCCGCATTCAGGAGCATCCTCCTCTGCGGGAGGCCGCGCGGCTTGGATGTATCAGGATGCTGTGGGGGACCCTTTCAGCTCCGCAGAGCAGCGTTGAGCCGGGCGCGGGGCGGGGAGCGGGGAGCGGGGAGCGGGGTTCCGCACTGCGCCAGGAGGCCGGGCGGACGGGGCTCGGGGTCGTGCGCTCAGCTCCCAGCCTCCGTCCCCCGGGGCCTGGGGCTGTTTGGAGTGCGAAGGGGTGAAGGGCAGAGGTCCCGCGAAGGGCCAAGCCGGCCGAAGGGGGGACGCTGGAGAGCCGCCCTCCTCCCGCACAGGTAGCAACAGGCGCCTCCCGGACGACACAGGTGCCACCGCGGGGGCTGGGCGCTGGGAGGCCGTCCGCCCGGTGTTTGCACAGGTGGGCCTGGCCCGGGGCAGGGGGAAAGGGGGGCTGGGAGGAGGCAGGACTGATGGGGAGGGGGCTGGGAGGCGGGTCCACGACCGAACAGGGTCCTCCCCCCCACCCCCCCGCAGTGCGCAGTGCACGGCCTGAGCATCCGCGCTGCCACCTGGGCGCGGGGTTCCGGGGCAGCAGCGTGCAGCCGGTCGCGGTGCAGACCCGGGGAGTCCACCCACCGGGAAGGGAGGCTTTTTTTTTTTTTCAAGAGAGAATAGCTGTGATTTATTAATTTTTATTTTATTTTTTATTTTTTAAAACCACCTTTCCCTTTGCCTCTGTTCCATTGCTGCCTGTTTTCTGTAACATAAATAAATAAGCGCGAGTTAAAAATCTCCCTTTGCAGAACTGACTTCACTATCAACGCAGAGGTGACCGTTGTGGCTTCACAAGGCTGCTTCACAAGTGGACAGCACCTTGCCTCCAGGGGCGAGGGCGGTCTGCGGGAGTTCAGAAGCACCTGCAGGGTCGGGGTCCTTGCTTGCCCTTAATCTCAGTGTGTTTTCAAGAGAAAAGCCAAGGGTTGAGCATGTGAGTCCAGCTCTTTGCAATCCATGAACCTGTGGTCTCCACCCTTTGCCTCTAGTCCATTTCAGTTTTATTTTTGGGTCTAATTATTGGCCTTGTGGGTGCAGATCTCCACCTCAATGTCTACCTTTTGTCATAATTCAACCCTATTATTATCACTCTCCGTGACTACTAAGTAGATTTACCCAAATCTGTCAAGACTTGTTACATGTTACTAGACTCCCAGATGGGCTCCTCCCATCTCTGCCAAAAGACAAGCATCCTGAAATAAATTCCAGTTTCTTTTCCCCACCTCACAATACATAAATCCTAAGTCATCCTCCCGTCTTTAATGAGATGAGATCTAGCAAAGAACTGCAGGACTAACAACGGGGCCTCAATATCCAGGTTCGGAATTTCTTGTTCTTTACGGTTAGGTTAGTCTTTAGAATAGCACAATCCATAAACTGTTAGAGCCCCACTGCCTTTGAACTCACTGAGAAACAGGTGTTCACAGTGTTTTCTGGTACTTCCTTTGATCAAAACCCTCTTTTTTTTTTTTTTTTTTTTTTTTTTTTTTTTTTTAGTATGAGAAATGGTCTTTGCCCTATCCGAGGTGGGATTTTTCTCTTCAGATCACAACTGAAATGGGCCCGGCAGTCTCACCTCTACAGACACTACCCTCATATGAAAGGAGAGAATGAAAAAAAAAAACAAAACAAAAAACAACAACAGCAGCAAAAAACCCAAATACTGTTTGGTTCATAAACAACTTTCGCACCTTTTTTTTTAACTTTTGCACTTCTAAAAAGGTAGAGGTTTCATTTTGACAAAATACACTGACTTTCAAAATGTTTTTAAAACCTGCCCTGAAGAAATCTTTGGTGTATTGAGATAGTGTTATGCCAAGATTGTTTCCAGCTCTCTGAGCTCCAAGTCAGAACGAATTTACTTAAAAATGTCTGCCTGACTGTGAGCTTGTCAGTAGCTCAATTTTTGGCTGAAGGATTCTTGGGGGGGGGGGCACACACCTTATCACTAGTTCAGTAGCTCTTAAGTGAGCTCTCATGGAAGTTATTGAAGTCTAAGAAATCATGTTGACCGAAGCCCCATCCTGGAGATCTGTAGGGCAATTGGTTAGTAAGGAAGCCCGCACTCTGCCTCTACCTTTACCCTTTCTTGAATTATTCAATAAATTATTTGACACCCCCACCCCCGGAAGTTTTTTGAAAGTAAAACCTGAACCCATTTCCTTATCAGGGGCAGGGTGAGGGATAATATATATATATATATATATATATTATATATATTAAAAAAAAAAACTCTCCATCTCCAGCCCACCACCACGAAGTGCTAAAGTCAGTTGTTTTATTAAAAAATAAGCACTATGCCTGGGTTTCATAAAATTTATACATGAATATGTACAGACACAAATAAAATAATATTAAAAATAAAAATCACACTCGCTTTTCCGTGGCAGTGGTCCTGGCACCCCACATACATAATGCTAACTTTCCCTTTAAAAGACATCGCTTGGCCCGAGGAGACCACAGTTTGAGATCACCCAACCACTAATAAAGCTGTAGCCCGTTGCCTGCAACATTTTTTCGATTCAGGTCTCAAAAATATATAAATAATTTAATTACAAAACCCAACTTTCTTTCTTTCTTTCTTTCTTTCTTTCTTTCTTTCTTTCTTTCTTTCTTTCTTTCTTTCTTTTTCTTTTTTTTTGTCTTTTGGCACAGTGAAGCATTGGTCAATAGCAGAAAAAGATGACTGGAGATTCTCCGACGCTTGTCTGACACTCAGTCATGCCTGTAATTGCCACATACTTACAAGGAGCGGGGTGGGGGGGGCACTCGGCCCCAAACAGTAGTCATATCATTTATCATATAGAATGGTTCCCTGATGCTTGTTTTTAAGGGGGCAAATCAACGCAAGGTGCGACAAACAAACAAACAAAAATAATAATAAGAAGAATAAAGGGGGGAGCCCGGGCGGTGAGAAGGTAGGAAAAGTCTCTGTGAAGCGAGGGAGGGGCCGGGCTGGGTCCAGAGCCCCGCAGCAGCCGCGGAGAAGTGGTGTGGCCTTCGTCGGGTCGCCGGAGGAGGAGGAGCAAGGTGTTCGGACCGGAGGTGGCGCGTCTGCGTCGCAGGTGCATCAGCTTTAAGGCACGTCTGATGGAGAGTCTTGTGTGCCCGCCGGGTTCGCCGGGGCGGCCGCGCGGGCTCAGGCCAGGAGCGTCTCCGCGGGGAAGGGCAGGTGCAGGTGCGGTCCCGGGCCGCGGGGCGGGGCCGCGGGCGGCCGCAGGGGGCAGTACAGGTGCGCGGGGCCGCGGGGCCCCTTGGCGAGGGGCGCGAGCAGCGGGGGCGGCGCGTCGGGGCCCAGCAGCGCGCGCTCGGCCGCCCCGTAGGCGCACAGCGGCAGCAGGGCCGCGCCCGAGGCGCCCGGGAGCAGCGCGGGGCAGGCGGGCAGCGGCGCGCAGGGCGAGGCGGCCCACGGCAGGTGCGCCCCGGGGCCCGCGTCGGCGGCGCGGCGGCTGCGGAACGGCTTGCTGAGGATGCTGTCGATGGCGAAGGAGCTGGAGAACCTGCCCGCGGGGCTGGCGCGCCCCTCCCGGCGGGCGGGCGAGGCGGGCGCGGGCTGGGCCGCGGGCGGCTGGGCCGCGGGGGGCTGGGCCGCCGCGTCGTCGGGCCGCGGTCCGGCCGCGGGGCCCCCCGCGCGGTGGCCCAGGCGCTTGCGGCGGCGGCGGAAGACCCCGTCGGCGAAGGTGTACTCGCTGTTGGGGTTGAGCATCCAGTAGTTGTCCTTGCCCCAGGGCCGCGAGGGGTCGCGCAGCACCTTGACGAAGCAGTCGTTGAGCGACAGGTTGTGGCGCACCGAGTTGCGCCACCCCGTGTAGCTGCCGCGGAAGAAGGGGAACTTGCCCATGAGGTACTCGTTGATCTCGGCCAGCGTCAGGCGGCCCCCGGCCGAGTCGCGGATGGCCATGGCGATGAGCGCGATGTACGAGTAGGGCGGCTTGGGCCGCCGCGTGTACGGCTTGGGGCGCGCGCCCTCGCTGCCCCCCGCGCCCTCGCCGCCCCCCGCGGCCCCCGCGCGCCCCGCGCGCCCCGCCGCCGCCGCGCCCCCCTCCGCGCCCTCCTCCGCGCCGCGCCCCTCGCCGCCGCCCGCCGGCTCCCCGCCGCGCCCCCCGCCGCCCGCCGCCGGGCTGTTGGCCGCGCAGTCGCCGTCCGAGCCCAGGGAGTCGTCGCCGCCCGCGGCCCCCGGCGCGCCGCCCGCCTCGTCCTGCAGCTTCATGCCCGCGCCGCGCCCGGCCTGCGGCGCCTCTCCGGGAGCCCCGCGCTCGGCGCCGCTCCGCCGCTCCCGCCCGGGCCGGCTCGGGGGGCCGCCGCCTTCTGCGGAGCTAGCAGGGGCGGGGAGCGGCAGGGGCGGGGCGGGGGGCGCGCGCTGCGGGCCGAGCGGGCCCGGGGACTCGGTGCGGCGAGCAGCGGCCGGCAGCGTCCGCCATCCAGCCAGGGCCGCGGGGGCCGCCCGGGGTCGCGCCGCCGTCAGCGCCGAGCGCCCGCCCAGCCCCGTCCGCGAGGCCGCGGCGCCCGCAGCCGCCCTCCCGGCCCGGCCGAGCCAGGCCGCATGTCCGCGCCCGCCCGCCGCTCTGCGTCCCGCCCGCACCTCGCCCCGGCGCAATATAACCCCGCGGCCGCCCGGGGACGGGGCGGGGCCTGGCGCGGGCGGCGGGGGGGGGGGCGGGAGGGGGAGGGGAGGGGGCGCTGGCCCGGGCCGCGCGGCTCCCGCGGGCGCGCCCCAGGCCGCCCGCCCCGGCGCAGGTTGTTTGTTTTGGGTCGGCCCGGCCCGCCCCACGCCCGCCGCCCTCCGCCCTCCGCCCGCCGCCAATGGGAGCCCGCGCGCCGCGCCGAGCGGCTCCGAGGTGCGCGCCCCGCCCGCCCGCCCCCCGCGCCCCGCCCCGCCCGCCCGCGCGCCCAGGTGTGAGCCGGCCCGCCCCGGGGCCCCGCGGAGGCGCTGCGGGCCGCGCACCGTGCGGGGAGGGGGAGGGGGGTCCCGGGGATCGCCGCCCCGGTCTGCGCCTCCCCAACCCGCGCGCGGTGCCCGCTTCTCCGGGTCCCGAACCCGCAGCGTCCGAAAGCAAAGCCCCCGCGGCCCCGACGGCAGCTGCCCTAACCCGCGAGGACAGCGCCGGGCACTCCCCGGGACCCTTTATGGGAGCCACACGCCCGGCACCCTCCCATGCTGCTCTTCTGCGCATCCTCCCCTCCTCTCCCCTCCCCTCCCCCGTCTCCCCCTCCCCTCCTCTTCCCTCCTCCTCCCTTCCCTCCCCTCCCCTCCCCGTCTCTCCCCCTCCCTCCCCCTTCCCCGTCTTCCCTCCCCTCCCTCCCCTCCCCCTGCTTCCCCCTCTCCTCCCCCCTCTCCTCTTCCTTCCCCTCCCCTCTTCTCCCCTCCTCTCCCCTCTCCTCTCTTTCCTTCCTTCCTTCCTTCCTTCCTTCCTTCCTTCCTTCCTTCCTCCTCCTTTCTTTCTTTTTCTTTTCTTCTTTCTTTCTTTCTTTCTTTCTTTCTTTCTTTCTTTCTTTCTTTTCTTTCTTTCTCTCTCTCTCTTTCTTTCTCTTTTTCTCTTTTCTTTTCTTTTCTTTTCTTTTCTTTTCTTTTCTTTTCTTTTCTTTTCTTTTCTTTTCTTTTCTTTTCTTTTCTTTCTTTCCTCTCTTTCTCCAGTAGACTTGAAATTGTGAACTCGTTTTTCTTTTCCGGTGACCTGGGCTCTGGCTCGCTCAGCGGCCTCTGACCCTCCCTTCCCTCTCGCCCCCTCCACCTGGCTGCTGGCCGAGTCCCCTCTGTCCCCCGGCGGCTGGCGGGGCGCGGGGACGGTGTGCGGGGCGGAGGGCACGAGGCTCCCCCCTAGGGGACTCCTGCTGCGGCGAGGGCCCGTGGGAGGGGGGGCCTTTGCGTGCCGCGAAGGGGGGACGGGGCCTAGGCGGTGTCCGCCCCGGAGCGCACTCTTAACCGCTGCCCTTGCACGCCGAGGGGTCCTTCCTCCTTTTTCCTGCCTTTGTTGGAAGCAGCGAAGGAGCTGCGAGTTCCTGCAAGCTCACCTTTGCTCCTTAGGAGCTTCCAGCATTTGCATCGAAGCGCACGCAGCCCACTGTGCCCTCAGGACCCGTCCCGAGGGTCCTGCCCATCTGTGCCTGCACATCACGCTGCCGCTCACTGCGCCTTAGGCTTGGCCGTCGGTGCAGGGGCTTCTTTTGGGGAGGTGAGCCCCCTGCTAGGGACCTGCCCACTCTGGCCCTGGGAGTTTGGGGGCCAGAGGGCAGCCAGGTGAACAGGCCCCGCGATGAAAGACATGGGAGTGGATGTCCTCCTCCTTTGAACTCGGGGTAGTCAGATCAAGAGGAGAGCTGCGGATTTGGGGGTGCGACAAGCCCCGGTGAGTGAAGGTGGGAGCTCAGGTTGGCTGCAGAGTCCAAGGAGCCCCTTGAGACCCCAGTGCCAGGCACTCAACTCTGCCATCCCCCAGTTCCCGCTCGGTGCCTGAAGTCACAGGGCCACCACCTGGCTGCCCAGACCCCTCCAGACCCACAGCAGCGCTCACCTTAGGGGCAGCGCTCCTCCTGGATCCCCATGCCCCCTCTGCCCGTCCTGTCCTGCAGCAGCCTCCTGTCTCCCCTCCTGCCCCCTGACAGGAGCCCCCAGCCCGGGTGTGTGTGGGGGGGTTGTTCTCCTGGTCCTCTGGGAACTTCCACTGAACTGTTGATACTGTTCACATAGGAGAGAAGAAAACTGGGCCACCTACGGGGCTCTGCTGACACTCCCCCAAAACGGGGGGGGGGGACCCTAAGGCTCTGGCTCGGACCTTCTTTGCCTGTAAAAAGAGGCTGATCCGAAGGGGCTCCCAAATGATTTTCTCTCAGCTCCCGCAACAGATAGTTTCTTGGCCCGTGTGCTTTCTTGGGTTGACCATCTCCAGGGGGTGTGACCATCCAGCCACCCGGACCCTGATGGCTGGGGCCCCCTATGCCTCAGCCCACCGGCTCCAGAGCGGGTGCATGGGAAGGGGTCGTGGGTCTCCTGGGCACGGGGGGGGGGGGAGGCTTTGAACAGCGCGGTGTTGCAGGCCCCTAGGGAAGGCCGACCTCCCCCCTCACTGCCCGGTCCTCTGTCTTTTACCCAGGACCCTCCCGCTCCCCATCCTCAGCTGGATCGGGCCCCTCCCGACCCATCCCAGGCGGAAAGCACCTGCCGCTGGGGTAGGCCTTTCCCTTGCCTCGGTGCGGGGATGCTGCTGGGGCGCTGCTGTCCGCAGGCTTGGAGCCTGAAAGGGTTTGAAGGGAAGGGTGGAGGTGGGAGAGTTCTCAGCAGGAAAGTCTTCTATTTTCAGAGTGCCTTAGAGCATTGGCGGTGGACTGTGGAAAGAAGGCCCTGGTGAGCACGGCAGGACCTGGGCTACCTCCAGAAGACAGAAAGATCCCAGGAACTAGAATGAGAGCCCCACTAGGACCGGGGTTTTGCCTTTTTTCTTTCACTGCTGGGTGCCCATCCTTGCCTCCAGAATGAGTGTCGCATTGTGCCATTTGCTAAGGATGTGCCGCATTTGTCTTTAATTAAGATCAGAAATAAGGCTGCCCTCTCCCTTTGTGGTTGATTTTGGTATGCTATCCTTAACTGCTGTCTTATGGCCAAGGAAATCATTCACTCGGCGCAGATTTGAGAAAAATGAGAATGGTTGGAGAAACGCATCCATTCTCCGCATCTCTAGCCACAACACCCTCAAGCCCAGGCACTGTAAAAAAATTCACATGCAACGTTCTGTTCATTGGTAAGTTCTTCAGAAATGGTTGGAGATTCCTGCTCCCTGATTTTCAATCCACTGGGGGGTCTGCTATTAATGGGTTAATAATAAATGCTGTGGGTGGGGCCTGACCAAACCCTTGCAGGTGTGAAAGACGCATCAGCTTGTTTTTTACCCCCTTGCCTTGTAATTTCCGTGGAGAGAAGTGAATAAACCATGACCAAAGAGAAATCCACAGCTCCACGATGTTGTGGCCTCCCTGAAGTAGCTGGAGGCGAAGGGAGGTAACGCATCTCTGGGCGGACACCAAGAACGGACTCCTAGTGCTTTGGATCCCAGTTCCTGAATTCTGATGTGGGAGGGAAGTAATCTAATTCCTAAAATGCCTCAGGTCGTTTGGGAGACTGGAGATTGGCGCTGAGTGGGAATACTGATGGTCCCCCCCCCCCCCATTAAAAGAACATACAGACTTTGCACAGTGGGGACGGGGAATCACCTTGATAACATTCCCTGAGGGTAACCTGGAAGGAGATTTGGGTTTCTTGTTAACCTCTGCTGGTCGCTGCTGTTGGCCTCTGGCTACGAAGAGAAGGTGAACTGAAAAGCCCTTTCCTGTGGGAACCTCGGCCTCTGCATGTGGCCGCATTATAATGCCAAGAACCATAGAGCCCCGGCACAGAGGGTGGGCTAAGGTCCAGAGCCCTGAGGGGAAGTGCCTGGCATTGGACCCTTCTCCGTCGAGGAACAGAGAGGGTCCTGACTTGTGGTCTCAGAAATCTGGTGGCAGCGACGGATCCTTGGCTCTTCCCTTTGTGAAAACGCACAGGCGGCAGCGCTTTGTGCCCTGTTGTAACCCGTACGTACCCCCATCGTTTGGCTGGCTCTTTTGCAGATTCTGAACACTTAGGAAGAATCCTGCGGAGGTTCAGGGTGGGCGTGAAAGGGTGGATAAAACCTAGGTAATTTGGCACATCTGTGCCGTAGACGCGGGCTTGTGTGTCTGTTTGCCACCTGTGCTCTGGCCCAGCCCAGAGACGTGGTTTACTCAAAGAAGCCCAGGACCTGGCCAGGCAGTACTGACCAGGTGCAAAGCCAAGGGCCGTCCTTGAGGTTTCTTCTGAGGGTCCAGGGTTTACAACCCCTTGGGCTTCCACTGAACTGAGGTGTTGTTGGGCCACCTGAGTGCACCCCCCAGGTAGTGGGGCCCGGGGAGTGGGGAATGGCCAACAGACAGGTCCAGTGATGGTGGAGGAGAGAGAAGTCACCTAAAGGAAACTGAGGAAAGAGGGAGGAGGGAGGGTGTGAGACGTGAAGGCCATCAGCCACAACATGACACGGGTTAGAGACCACTGAGAAAGCTGTCTGATTCTACAATCCAGAGACAAAATCCTGCGCTACATATGAAATATTATCAGAAAATGAAAGCTAGCCCCTGGGATGATGTATTAAAATCAGATGACAGCTTTGCCACTGTGGTCACGGAGTCCTGCAGAGGACCCAGCAGAGCTGACCAACCCTGAGGAACGCTTCTTGTCCAGTTCTAGTCCAGTTTCCCTTATTACCTGAAGTTTAGATTTTAAGTTTCAAAAGCCGAGAAACTAAAACTGAACTTCCTTTTCCAACGAATATATCCAGTCCTCTCTTTTTAACTCTGAGGCTCTCATTTTCTATAACAAATGAAAAACTAGACCCTCACCCAATGTTTGTCAGATGAAGACTGGCTTTCTACAAGGAGATCCGAATGGGGTGTCTCTGACTCTTATACCCCGTCACACTGTCATACAGATCCCGGTGAGAGAGGGACAGGTGGCAAGTGAGGTCCAGTTAGTACCCTTGGATAGCTACAGG